TACCCACGGGGAGATGATTCCTCATGAAGAGCCTGGATCCCCTACAGAAATCAAATGTGACTTTCCGTTTATCAGACTAAAATCAGAGCCAGCCAGACAGTGAAACGGTCACCGTGGAGGGGGGACGGCGAAAAATGAAATCCAACCAAGAGCGGAGCAACGAATGCCTGCCTCCCAAGAAGCGCGAGATCCCCGCCACCAGCCGGCCCTCCGAGGACAAGGCCACCACCGCCCTGCCCAGCGACAACCACCGGGCAGAGGGCGTGGCATGGCTCCCCAGCAACTCTGGTGGCCGAGGCCACGGGGGCGGGAGGCACGGGCCCACAGGGACTTCTGTGGAGCTTGGTTTACAACAGGGAATAGGTTTACACAAAGCATTGTCCACCGGGCTGGACTACTCCCCACCCAGCGCTCCCAGGTCGGTCCCCGCAGCCACCACGCTGCCCACGGCGTACCCTCCCCCGCAGTCAGGGACTCCCGTGTCTCCCGTTCAGTACGCCCACCTTCCGCACACCTTCCAGTTCATCGGCTCCTCCCAGTACAGCGGGCCCTATGCCGGCTTCATCCCTTCGCAGCTGATCTCCCCATCGGCCAACCCTGTCACCAGTGCAGTGGCCTCTGCCGCGGGGGCCACCACTCCATCCCAGCGCTCCCAACTGGAGGCCTATTCCACCCTGCTGGCCAGCATGGGCAGCCTGAGCCAGGCACCGGGACACAAGGTTGAGCCGCCGCCTCCGCAGCACCTCGGCCGGGCTCCGGGGCTGGTCACCCCGGGGTCCCCCCCACCCACCCAGCAGAACCAGTACGTCCACATTTCCAGCTCTCCGCAGAGCAGCGGGCGCGCGGCCTCTCCTTCGGCCATCCCCGTCCACCTCCACCCGCATCAGACGATGATCCCGCACACGCTCACCCTGGGGCCCCCCTCGCAGGTGGTCGTGCAGTACACCGACTCCGGCGGCCACTTCGTCCCCCGGGAGTCCACCAAGAAAGCCGAGAGCAGCCGGCTGCAGCAGGCCATGCAGGCCAAGGAGGTCCTGAACGGGGAGATGGAGAAGAGTCGGCGGTACGGGGCTCCGTCTTCGGCCGAGCTGGGCCTGGGCAAGGCGGGCAGCAAGGCCGTCCCTCACCCGTACGAGTCCAGGCACGTGGTGGTCCACCCGAGCCCTGCGGACTACAGCAGTCGAGATCCCTCGGGGGTCCGGGCCTCGGTGATGGTCCTGCCCAACAGCAGCACGCCCGCAGCTGACCTGGAGGTGCAGCAGGCCACGCACCGGGAGGCCTCCCCGTCCACCCTCAACGACAAAAGCGGCCTGCACTTAGGGAAGCCCAGCCACCGGTCCTATGCGCTGTCACCCCACACGGTCATCCAGACCACGCACAGTGCTTCAGAGCCTCTCCCTGTTGGGCTGCCCGCCACCGCCTTCTACGCGGGGACTCAACCCCCGGTCATCGGCTACCTGAGCGGCCAGCAGCAAGCAATCACCTACGCCGGCAGCCTGCCCCAGCACCTGGTGATCCCCGGCACCCAGCCCCTGCTCATCCCCGTGGGCAGCACTGACATGGAGGCGTCCGGGGCAGCCTCTGCCATAGTCACGTCGTCGCCCCAGTTCGCTGCAGTGCCTCACACGTTCGTCACCACCGCCCTGGCCAAGAACGAGAACTTCAACCCCGAGGCCCTGGCCACCCAGGCCGCCTACCCAGCCATGGTGCAGGCCCAGATCCACCTGCCCGTGGTGCAGTCGGTGGCCTCGCCCGCCGCGGCGCCTCCCACGCTGCCGCCCTACTTCATGAAAGGCTCCATCATCCAGTTGGCCAACGGAGAGCTCAAGAAGGTGGAGGACTTGAAAACGGAAGACTTCATCCAGAGCGCAGAGATCAGCAACGACCTCAAGATCGACTCCAGCACGGTGGAGCGCATCGAGGAGAGCCACAGCCCAGGCGTGGCCGTGATCCAGTTCGCGGTCGGGGAGCACCGAGCACAGGTAAGGCTCGCCGGGGTTCCACAGGTAGAGGGACCCCTGCCACACTGCCGCCATCACCCCGCCAGCCGAATTGCTTCTGCCAAGCAGGATTAAGGGGTCTCCCCAGTTCCTAGACCTTAGACTTGGCCTATCCCCACTGTGTTAAGACAATTTAAGCCCTAATTTTCCATGAGGGCTCCTCTTTGTGACAGACTAATCTCCATGCATCCAGAATGGGTCTAGTTGTATGCCGTCCTTGGGACAATTAAGAAGATGGCCACTCCATCTCACACTACAGTTATGTGAGACATTGCCGCTGAGGGAAACTGGGCTAAGAGGATATGGTCTCTCTGCATTGTTTTTGGAACTTCATGTGAATCTACACTTATCTCAAAAATCAAACTTGATTTTAAAAGATTCGATAGTTATTTTTAAGTTAAAAAAAAAAAGAAAAAAATTACCACTCCAGTTTTTTTTAATTTTTTTTATGGTTGGAATGAGGAACCCAGATTGAGAAAGACTGACTGGCTCAGGCGCTGGTAATAATCATCAAAAAAGACAGGCTGATTTGGGGAGAAGAGGACCTTGAAGTTTAGTCACTGCCTACCATTCCAGCATCCAGGTTTTAAAATATAGATTTTAATATTATATAGGTATGGAAAGGCTGGCAGATCAGGAGATGACTTGCTGAAAATATAGTTTTGCTAGTACTCCCAGATGCTAACTAAGAACAGGGAACACACCACATCATGGAGATGGGGCGGGGGTTGTCTAGAGGCACCTGTGTCTCCAGGCAAAGAAAGCAGGGAGAACATGGTCAAGAGCCCTAATTGTGACTCCCATGGGAAGGCATGGGCGAGGCAGGGTGAACAGGCTTAGGGTGGGTCGGTGTGAATGATTTTGGTGGATTCTGGCAGAGGATCTGTCCTGGTTATCTGGGAGCCAGCCTTGTGGTGACTATTGAAGGCAGACAGAGGCCTTGAACCAACATAGGAGGTGATGGGAGTGTGGGCTTTGCATTGATTGGTATGCGTAAGAAAGGTGCGCTCTCAGGTGAGTTGTTTTCCATCTCTAGGAATTAGCTAGTCCTAGGAGAGACGGATCCTGCCAGCAAGACCCTAAAATGTCAGAGCATCAGAAAGTGAGCAGCAGGTTCAAGCCCAAGTTCACAGGCTTGTCCTCAGCCGGGTGCTTCCCTGGCTGTGGGGCCCTCCCTCTCTGGATATGTTCTCTAAGGACCTAAAAACACTCAAATGTGGCAGAGCCCGCGCCAGGTGTGAAATGAAAATGGGATAACTGATAGATTGATTTGTTTTTTATTTTCTTTGAATATCCCAACTAACAGTTTGAATTGCTTAGAGCACCTTTAAAAGAGCAAATAAAGATCATTTCCCAAAATGTTTTCAGAACTGCTCATGAATGACCAGGGGCCCTGAGATACTTTTTTAAGCTGAGATGTCACTGTAGGTTGACAGTCATTGGTGAAACCCAAGAAAGATTTCTCAAAAGTTCTGATTTTTTTTTTTTAAAAAAGCCAAATATCAAGATTGTTTTAAAATGGCATAATTCTTCAGAACTCACTAACCATCTGTAGTTGCTGCTCAGAACTTTGCAAAATTAATGCTTCTATGATTTAAAAAAAACCAAACAAAACTACCTTCCATGTAAAGTCGAAGCTCTGCTCTCTTTTCTTTCCCATGACCTGATCACTGAGTCTCTGTGCTGACAGCCAAGGTGCAAATCAGCAGGTAGGCTTGTCAGGGATCATCCACAGTCTGCAGGGCAGCCCCCGTGCTGCTGTGCTACATGCCAGAGAGGGATTCTGGAAAGCAAGGCCAGAGAACTATGGTCTGCTAAAGAGCAGGCTTGGCTTCAGGCCTTGGGGAAAAAAGTGCAAGGCCCAGGCACTGCCAGCCCAGCCATGTGTCATCTTCTCCAGCAGCCAATCAGAGACGGGCTGACGTCATCGGAGCTCAAACACTCCACCAGCTGTGTCTGCCTTGAGGAGCAGGTTCAGCTTCCGAGTAAGAGACTGGAAAGGCGAGAAGGGATGGGACAGGGAACTGAAGTCCCAGGGCTTCAGGCTGCATCTCCCCAAGGGCTTTTCTCCCTAGCCTGCGGGATGCCCAGGTCTTCTCACCATGGCTCACACCCCCCCCCAGGGAAATGTAGATGTGCACACTGAATGTCAGGAAGCTGTGGAAGAAGACGTTGTTTTCTACAGGACCCGTGCGTGGCTTTGTGATCCAAGCCACACGCATTAATGGAAAGTCGAAAGGATGCCCAGCCTCTGAAAACCAGGGTCCTTCCCAGAGAGGGCATGTGGTGTGGCGAGGCAGGCAGAGCACCAGGAGCGATGCCTGGGGTTTGTGTGGACCGGCTGCTTCACCTCTCCCAGCGGCAACTGCTCCCATCTCTACAAAAGGAAAGTGATTCCTTACTAAGATGATCTCTTGGGGCCAGGACTAGTGGCACATGACGAGTGGCTATTAATTTTTTTTTTTTTGTACTGGGGATTGAACCCAGGGGTGCTTAACCCCTGAGCCATATCCCCGGGCCTTTTTTGTATTTTATTTGGAGACAGCATCTCCCTGAGTTACTTAGGGCCTCTCCAAATTGCTGAGGCTGGCTTTGAACTCACGATCCTCCTGCCTCAGCCTCTCGAGCCTCTGGGATTACAGGCATATGCCACTACGCCCAGCTTGGCTATTACTTTTAAGGAACTGAATTCCTAATTGCTCCTGTGGCAAGATGCCTCTAGCATCATCTCTGGCTGATGCTCTAACAAGGCAGCAAAGGAGAACCATGTTTTCACATACCTGTCGCTGGTGCCTGTGACTTCACCGTACCTAGCACACTACTGCCATGCACAGACGAGGCATCTTTGTGTTTACAGTGCCTCTGGCCTGATGCTATGGAAGAAGTAAAGGAGCTTCGGGTGTTCTTTGTCACTGTGTGTGCCCAGTGAGCCTCCATCAGCTGGGGGACAGGCGACACATGCCACCACAGGTGGGACAGAGTTGCTCCACCTGCCATCCCTTGGTTATGCTTGAGAGCCCCATGGGACAACAGATTGCTTCCCTTGGGCCTCACTCCCAAATATAACCTGCTCGGCATTCTCCAAACGTGAGGACCTGTCTGTGGCGAGTCCTAGGCGGGACTCCCAGGCTGTGGCATCCGCGAGGGCACTACAACATGTTCTTGGGTAGGAAGCAAGTTAGCTGCTGAGAAAATATGCAGGACTGTCTCCACTGGGACTCACTGCAACATGAGTTTCCCTTTCCTGCTTCAACTCGGGGGCTGTTGGCCCTGAATAGAGAGTTTTGCTTGTGAGAAGTAAATATAAGACCTTGTACTCTGTCTCTCCTTCCACGAACTCTAGAACTCTATTCAATCTCTGGAAGCCTAGTAAGATGGCTGAACTTTGCCAGCAAATACCTTAAGGTACTTTTCCCTGCCTGAATCCTCTTAGTGCCTTCCATGCATGACCAAGGAGACCTGGAATTCCCGTTTCTGCCAGGCCTGCTGAAGGACTACCTGCCATCCTGTGTGAGCATACGGGATGTGCTTTCCTGAGCATGATTTGGACGTCAGGGATGGATCCGTAAGAGCACCGCGCAGATATAAGGGGCTTGCCAGTTCCACTTTTGCAGAGATTGTTAGCCATGTGCCCTCCGGGAGAGCCCCAGCCCAGGACAGCCCCAGCCAGCAAACAGAGTCCATCTCACGAACACCCTGCCCGCTCTGTCTCATGCTCCCTGGGTTCTGCTCTTCTGAAGAGTACCCGGGATTCGCTCCATGGACTTGTAGTAAAATTGATTTGTGAAGCACTCTGGGCTGACACTTCTCTTTGGCCGATGATTTCCTAAACACCGAGCTCCATGTGTCATTAGAGCTGTCTCTCACTTCCTGGATCCTGCCGAGGTGACTGCTTCCCTTGCCGCCTTGGTGGCTGCTTAATATTCAGTGCCATTTCCTTGCCCTGCCTGTCCTGGTGTGGGCGTGTGTGCCCGCTCCTGCAGCGTGTTATAATGATGTGCTTACCCCACGTCTACCGGTGGCTTTGCTTTCATTCCACTATTTTTTAGTTTGACTGCTGGGGCTCTGAGTCATGGTGGCAGCGTTATGCATTGAATGGATTAGCTGCAGCCTAAAAATAGCCAGGCACTCATGCGAGCAGCAAATAAGCCCAGAGAGTCGTCTCTCAGCAGCCAAGGCAACCTCCTTGCCAACATTTACCATGCAGGGCTTGGCGGAAGAAATCCTAATACATCAAAAAATAGATATTTGGTCACTGCCCTGAATGCTGGGCCTGTGTCCTAATCTTAGTCATAAAAGGTCATAAAGTCCTATCAGTTCTAATAATGAAAAGAGAATCTCTTTCTCTCTCTCTCTCTCTCTCTCTCTCTCTCTCTCTCTCTCTCTCTCTCTCAGCATGCACCTACAGTCCCAGCTACTCTGGAGGCTGAGGCAGGAGGATCCCTTGAGCCCCAAGGGTTTGGGACCAGCCCGGGCAATCAATGTAGCAAGATTCCAACTCAGAAAAAGAAAAAGGAAGAAGAAAAATGCTCTTCTTTAATCTTTGTGTAGCATAAGTGCCCCCAGATGGGTGATCTTTTATGTATTATTGAGGCATGTGGCCACAGACGGTTATGGTTTATAGCTTTCTAAAAAAAAAATTAAGACTTTATTGTTTTAAGCTGCTTTAGGTGTATGAAACATGGCACAGAAAGTAGAGTTCCCCCGATGCAGTGTCTTCTATTATTAAAATCCTGCACGTCTGTTACGATTGATGAACCAGTATTGATACATTATCATTAACTAAATCCCACGGTTTCCACTAGGGTGTGTCTGTTGAGCATTCTGTGATTTTGTAGCCAGCGTCACGGTATTATTCAGAGTAGGGTCACCAACCTAAAAACCCTCGAAGCTTTAAGTGTTCTCCCCCTTTCCAACTCTTTGCCTCAAACCCCTGGCAGCCACCAATCTTTTTACCTTTCTCTGGAGTGTCAGAGGGCTGC